AGCCTTAGAATGTCATGTTCTTAGAGTTTTCTTTTCCAGTGATGACCTGTTACATTACATTACTTCACATTACATATATTTCCTTACCCAGGGTATGCCCACAAAAGTTAAAAGCTGCCGCATTGTGAACCTGCATACATTACAAATTATAACATAAACTAAGCAAAGTCAAATTCACAAGGAAAAAGTGCATTGGTGGAACAGACGAGGAACATTACCGCTTACAAATGCAAGTACTTTGGAAATTATTTAGGCCTACATAACAGAAAGCAATATACAAAAGTTCATTTTAAACATACAGGCATAACGCATGGACTGCTGTATTATGGGATGGGCAAAAACCCCACGAATCCCTCGTGGGGAATGCACGGGGAAATTCCCAATCCGGCTCCGAACTCGTAGATCAGCGCATTTTGAACCCTTGGGTTAATGGCAGAAATATCATTGACTGATGGCTTAACGTAGTCTGATTTGCTAGGGAATAACGGTTCTCAGATATTCATGGAAATCATTCCATATTTTAGCATCAATCACAGCGAAACTTGTGGCATAGCATTCCGTTTTGCACTCAACATTATATGGTCTATATAATGGAGTTCATTGACCCCTGGTGCCTTTGACTTTAAGTAGGGATGGCACAACAATGAAACTTTCTTAACTGGCGGATAAGGTTACTGACTGCATGGTGGAAGGTGCACACTGACACCCTTTTACCTCTGCACTCATTATGATTAAAGGCATAATTAACGCTAATTACACCCACCAAATATCTCAGTCTGAAATACTGAAGTCTTTATATCAATTAAAGAAGACACTTGGCGTGTGCTCAAAGTTATGATTAAACTAAGTCTTGAGGGTATCTTAAGGGGCTTCCCCTCCCAACGCACCACACGTGACACTTAGGAAATCCCGTTCAGTCTTTTATATTCCACACTCTAAACATCATGCACTCGATATTATGATTAGACGCGGCTCGGCTCCCGGACCTGTACGACCTATGCTACTAGCCTGCTACATCCATCAAAATTAGATACACATGTAGTAGCACTGTGAACGCGGAAACAATAACAGCATCATAATACGATATGCATGCACCAATGGTCACAAACGCAAAACGCAGGCCCGACAGCAGAAACTAAGGCAATCATTCTCGTAGTTACAAGGCGAATGATTTGTCCAGTTCTGTGGACGAGAGAAGTGGATTTCAATACGTGAGTTTAAATTATTTTTTACGAAATGTTCAATTAATGCTTATGTTCTGAAAACAGTGTGGCGTTACTGGTTGATTGTCATCGGCATCTTTACTGCATCGACGTCTGGACCGTCTTAAAACTACTGGGTTTTCTGAATGAGTTATGACGTCATCAAAATGCCGCCGGGAGGGGATCCCCCCTCCCCCTTTGGATACGCCACTGGCTTGCATCAACTACTCGTTAGGGGGAGGGAAGACATGTGAGGTCTTCTGTGAGAAAACTCCCTTTTCCCACTTTATTTTCTTACACTTTTCAGAAACTAACTTTTAATGATCAGATATACATGAATGTTCTATTTAACTCCACACAGTAGTTCAACATAGAACAGGATATAATGTTTTTCTGCAACTTCCTTTATTTACGCACGTGACACGCATGCGTTTAGCATCACGTTCATTTTGAAGACTTTGAATTTGGTGTCATATTTACATGTATGTGAACAATTTAAGATTTTGGAGAAAATTTATTATTCTCATTATTGTTAAACTTGAAACCATGACTCGTGCCTCGGAAGTATTTTGTGTTATGGTCTGTGACTAAAGAGGGGCGAATAAAAGGCAATTTTGTAGACAAGATGGTGGCCTCGCATGGCATGCATGGCATGACAGCTCATAACCAACATCTCATAGATGAAATATTATCTTCATTAGTAAACTCCCTCATGCCTGTCCACTAGCTGTGATAATTCTGATGACGGCACATAGGGGGTCTCACACAGTGATAAAGCATCCTATATTCCCACGTGGTATGTAAATTGCGACAAGCTTGTGGGAGATAATTATGAAGCAATCCTCCCGGTATACAGCGAATCACTGATGAGAAAGAAATACGGGCTGATGGGTGTACACCGCGCTTTAAAGTAACCGACGAATGAGCATCGCTTTGTTCCGTTGTAAACAACCGTGGTTGCATGTTCTTCACACTTCGCTTTTATCCTAATCATTCGGGATAGAATTATAGTAAGAAACGTCATCACTTCGAAACAAAAGGGCGTGCACACGTCATCAGTAGAGCGTTTGGTGGAGCAGTTTGCGTCTTCTAATGGTCCCTGTACTTTCGACTTCCGTGGGCGACACGTGAGACGCACTGTGTCAAAATGGCAACAGTCGATAAATTATTGACTCCTCATTTCTAATATCAATACTCTGCGGTCAAGATCCATCACGGCAAATCTTAAGGTTGTGGCTTGAAGAATCGGTACAAAAATCATCATCTTCGGTAAATAAAGAAATAAAGTAAGAATACATGAAAACGCTGAAATAGGGAAAACGGTCAAGGAAACGCAGTGCTCAAACCGATGCCTAAAACCAATTCTTAGTATAGTCAATGCTCTTATAACCGTTGAGTTCTAAGCCTCGTGGAAGGCTATTGTAATAAAAGCTCGTGACATCACCAGAAATTAATAAAGATTTATTCAAACATTGACGATTTCAAGGTAATGTATTTGTTGGTGTGCACAGAAGACCTGACGAGTATACAACCGTCTTTGTTAGTTATTATGCAAATTATATTCATGCACTGTCATCTTTCTGAATTTGAATAATCACACACTATTTGAGAGAACAGTTAATGCCATCATTTCCGGTATGAACAATTTCCAAGGTGAAGTGGAGGGTTTTATTGTTGGTTAACGATTAACTGCATCAACAGTAAGCAGGCCAATCATTCCTCAGGCGAAACTGTAAATATTTTTGGCGGGGGCGGGGAAACGATGCGATGTTGAAGTCTGTGCTCTGTAAGTAACAGAATCTTTCCCATGGTGTTTTCCCATGAACCAAAAGTTCCTGAAGCAAATATTACGCAAAAAAAACCATGAATGTTCACATAATATTTTCATAAAAACAAACAGTAAGTGATGGATTACTGTCTGTCTTTTTTGTACGATCTTTTGTAAGTTCTGTTTGTCCATTTTGTCTTAAAAAGGCATTTCTATACAAGACGTTTGTCTTTTGAATATGCCTCCATTATGGCCCGCTTTTTTCATTTGTCCCTTACATAATTACTAATCTTGTAATTTTCATCATGCTACATTAAAAGATCAAGAACACATTATATAACTAAAAACAAAATTCACTTCTTACTCTTATTACTAAAGCTCGTTACTTCGTACTTATTTATTAATATTCCTTTATTCATTATTATTAAAATAAAATACGACATTATGGGATTTAATTTTTTTTTTCTGTTCCAGTGAATGGTATCCCAAAAATATATATAATGTAACTAAATCTGCTTTATCGCAGACCGGGTTTGTGGGAATTCTAGATGCCGAGACATCTGGTTGGTTCAAATTGTTTTCCCAATTTAGTTTCTTTTTATTCGATCGCAGATTATGCCGGAAATCATATCGTCAGTGCATGTTTGCCGTTCGATTCATCAACTAAATGGATTAGAAAATGATGTTGTTATCTTTTGGTTTGGGCCAAAGTTGGACTGCTCATGCAAGCAGATTATAACCCGACCTCTACAAGCCAATAAGATAAGCTCGCATAATATTTTGCTGAGTTACATTATGAACATGAACGCTTCAAAATACATTTATAAATACATCATAAGGACGATATTTAAACATCAGATGTAAAGCATGTCATGAATTGTGGCTGGTTGTTTGTAAAATTAATTTTAAATTAAACAATACAGGTTTGACGTGTATCGACCCAGCCGGCGTTGCCATTATGTACAATATTTGTGACATAAACGGCCGTCGTACGGCATTGATTGAGACAAAGAATAAATTATTCATGGCAAATACAATTTTGGATTTATGAACGGTACTTGTTACATCGTGAGTAGAAAACGACTCGCCCGGCGGCTGTTTACGGAGTGACAGCTGCAGACGACATCACGTCTAAAGTTGACCCGAGGCAAACATACCCGTGTCAACTCATCCATGCTGTCACATTTAACCTTTTCGTCTGGAAAAAAAAGTTCACAATTCTCCCTAGTCAAAATTAATATTTTTGGTTTGGACCGAGCAACCATTCCTTTCGATCAGATCCGTTCCGTATCCTTTTGGCGTCCAAGAAATGCCTATTCAGAATTTTTTTTATAGCATACAAGGTTGAAGGGGGACAAAAGAAAACATAGGACAGTAGGCCAACATTCTGTCTGGTTTCACAAATGATATAATGGAATTGCGGATGCATTAAATGTAGAACACAGCGACCTTCCAACGTTGTTGTGATGGAGTGGGAGTATTTAAAGGACGGATTTATTTTCGTCATAGCTAAGAACGGTAATGGTCGACCTCACATGTACGGTTCCGCCAAGCGAGCCAGCTATTAATTTGAGGAAAATATCTACCGATTGTTTCCGCCCGGGGCCGGTCGACGATCCAGCGCGCGCGTGGTCGACCGCTAACCACGCGCCTCACCAGCCATTCATGAATGCGATCACGTGGGCGGCGCGCTCCACAGACTCTGATTGGCTGACGTCAGACGTCGGTGTGACGTCAGATATTACGATGGTTTGTAATCCTGTTTGCGAGCTGCATTTTTCTCCCGTACGGGTTGAACCAGTCACTTGAACCAGATCATTCTCGCTTGACGGACGCACGTTTCTCCTACACGGCACGCGTCGGAGGCACGCGCTTGCATCTTTTTCCTCCTTTTCACCCGTTTCTGTTATTTCATCACAACACGCGGCAGCTTACAGGCGAGCTGTCATCCTCGCTGTTGGATCTTTCTTTACTCCGGCCGATTTGATATTCACATTGATATATATCTATTTCTCTCTACCGTGTTGCAGTCATTTCAAGACTGGTGGATGATAGGGGTGCATCATCTTACCATCGAACACCTGCTAAACACCTGCTGGATCTAGCAGACGAGTATTCAGGTATGTACGCTTACGATCAATCTCCATGTATTCCGATTCAAGTAGGATTTCCATCAAGCCTCACTGATTATAAGTATGTAAAAAAAAATCCACATTTCCACACAAAATTGTTTTCTAGTAAGCCTAGGAATGATACACGAAGTGTGTAAGTACAGAAAATACTGCATTTTGTTGTGTTATGGGTTGTGTTTACGACTGAGTGAGTTACATGGAATATGCGATTTCCAACGGTTCAATTCTACAGCGCGTGGTTGTAAATACTCACAGCCCGCGGTCGGCATGTATGTACATCCATAATACGTTACCCAGTAATCCAAGGCTCCCACTTGCCGCTTGAAATGCCGTCAATATGCAGCGAGCTTTGGTCGATCGAAGACCGGGTCTTTTTTTTGGCGCGCGCGGAGAAATAGCAAGGATGCGGCCATCAAGTGGAATCAAATGTCACGCTTGATCAGTGTGGATTTTCTTGCGACTTCCACTACCGCATTTCTAGCGCGACCTTTCAAACATTGACTAAAAGGTAAAAAAAAAGGAGAAAACTCAAGTGTTTTTGCGTAGCTCGATGTGAGGATAAAGTTACAAGTCACTTTTTTCTTTTTAAATATTAACCTGAAATTTAGTCCCTTCGTCTACGCTTTTCAACACGTATTTTTCTCGACTCGGACTCTGTTGATAATTATCCGTGTCACATTTCTAAGTTGCAATTTTGCTACTTCCTTTTACGCACTGACGGACGAGAAATTCTCAAGTGCTTTTAAGGTTTCGGCGAAGATGAAATATCCGACTTGTGTCGCAGACTACTTGTCGCACCAGCAGGACCGTTAAATATTAACAAGATTCATGATATTGGAATAGCATCCATTTTGTCTGAATTCGGATTGAAAAAAAAGTGCTCTGTTCTAATAACCCAATGTCGCTCTGGGGCTGTAATCTTGAATGTGAACAGAATATTTTTTTCTGCTAACGCTCCCAATTTTTGTCATGTATTTGTACTGGGGAAAACATAGACGAATAGCAGAATTTCATGACAGAGTTTGGTTCATTTCCATCACATCTATTTCAGTGCATTAAATCATTAATCATGATTCATATGTATATTTAAAAACATTTCAAGGAATCCGTTAATGTATCGTATTAAAGTATTGACAATTTCCTGGTTTAATTCAGTTTGCGTTTGTTTTGGGTGATTTGACAAGTTTACATTAATGCCTCTGTACACGTGTGCAGCTGAAATGTCATGAATCTTCAGGCTGATTTGTTTTCAGAGAAACATTCTCTGGTATTGTTCAGCGATATCTGGAAGTAATAATTTGTGAATTGCGTGAATTTTTAACGAGCCCCCAGCTTTGTGCGTATCTTTCTTCGCGGAATTACACCGGTAAAGGTGGAAGATGTTGTCACGCGCGTGCGAGTTTAAATTAGATCGGCCTCTCACTTGAATGATATATTTTTTAACGGGTGTTGGTCAGGAGGTGTGGGTAATGAGGGAGTCTATCTAGGCCAGAAGGAGCGAACAAGACTCTTGTCATGAGCGGAAACTGCTGGGCTCATTTCAGACGCTCCATAAGGCCCATCAAGTGTCTTCTAGTGCGGGATGCGCAGCCATTAGTCGGCGTTGCCGAGCTGCAGGCGGGAGGGCAGACTAATTTTATTCATGGATTCATTGCCCTCAGAAAATTACTCTTGGTTAGCAGGCCCACCTCGGCCAGTTAGGGGCAATTACGGGTCTCCTAGCAGACCCTTAGGCAATAGGCACGACTGGTGTAGGGGGTTGACTCACCGCCTGTGGCCAACTCAGTCGAATTAACCTCCGTTTGGCTGCATGTTGGGAGATGCTGTGGTGGTTTTAATTACACGTTGTGACATTCTGTCTTGTTTTTCTCCCCCGATCACTCCCTGCGTGTTACAGTTGTAAACTAGCTTCATCATGTCTTGGAGTCAACTGGAGGAGGAGTTTCACTCCCATGAAGGTTTGGAGGCGTGGTCAGCAGCTATGGAGCAGCAAGCAGCCGCCAACGAGAGACATCGGGTGCAGAAGCGGCAGTTACACCGCACCAACTCGGTAGAGGAAGGGTCCAATGATGGCTCAGCGGAGGGGGAATCATCTACAGGATCCATTGCTGAAGAACCACAGAGTATAATCAAACGCGCCAAGACGACCCGTAAGACAGGTGGTAGCAGACGCAGGAAAAGCGGCAACGCTCGGGAAAGGAACATTCGACGTCTGGAGAGCAACGAGAGAGAGCGCATGCGCATGCATTCACTAAACGACGCCTTTCAGGATCTGAGGAACACCATACCCCACGTGACCTGCCAGAGAAAACTCTCCAAGATCGAGACACTGACACTGGCCAAGAACTACATCGAGGCTCTGTCAGATACCGTGGTCAAGCTCAAGTCAGATCTAGATGACATACAGTCCCTGTACGGCCTGAGCAGTAGCAAAGACGTGGATTCTAACATGAACCTTGTCGGTAACAAGAAAGATCTCTTGGACGCTGCAGTCGACATGGAGGATATGCAGCTGAAATTCTAACAGGAGTCTTGCTCATCGTGGATTGGAACATGGAAAGTCCGTCTCGAATCGGAACCTTAAACGTCCAGCCTACGTTAATTGGATCTATATTATTGACCGAACACCTGACGAGAGGATTCTCCTCGGCGCATCAGGACAAGTCGCCCGCGGGTTGGTAGCCCTAAGTTGTGTCAGGTCATGCATTGGCTCGTCTTGCCTTGTGATGTCAATGCTCTGAGCGGTTTAACAAAATAAGACCTGCCTGTCAAACAAGTGACATTTACTCGCTGTCAGACTATGCAGAGGGAAAACAACAGGACAGGTAGCTGAGGTGATGACGATACTCAGGTGTCGACTACTCTTCCAGAATTGCCAGCCTCGAGTGGTGAGATGAAAAGGACGTATGCCTCAGAAACCGGCAGAGTCGAGGTTCTACGCCGGACTGTGAAATTGTTAGACGTTTCCTCAAACTCTTCTTTTTTTGTGCTTGAGGAAGTGATGAAATAGACTTATATTTTTGCAATGAAAATGAAGACACAGGTGGATGCTGTTGAGAGGACAATGCTGAACGCCTATATAAGAAAATGATTTTGAGATAATTGGTTATGAACAATACCACCTGTTGATTCACCTCCCTTCCGCCCTACCATGAATTATCTGCTAATCTGTGAATTTTCTTCGTGATCCTCACTGTATTTGTCAAAACCGTACTTTGGAACAAGGGCGCATGCGCTCTCATTGCTCACAAGGAGGCGAACCGACGACTGTTTCCGGTGTCGCCAAAGGCATAAAACCAATTCCCGCGCATCTCCTACGTCTTCTTTAATCCTTCAGCGAGGTAGTATTTTTCTTCTTCTCCTTTCATCGTTCGCTCGAGATCGGCCGGGTGCATTTTATCGCCTTTGTGAATGCGACCCTCCGCCCAAGCTCCTTGTGTGCGCTTGTCTCACCTTACTGCGCCTGGGGGTAAATGACGAGCGAGCAATGGAGAAAAAAAACACCGGCATGAGGAACGTGTCAGGATCGACGTGCAGGTTGAAGACTGGGACAACACTTACCGATTCCTCCTTTCGGTGAAACAACCATATTCACCTTGTTGTTTTTGAAAATAGAATTGGTTAAGTAAAGCAGAACACGCAATCTCACATAACGTTAATTGTTATCTTAAGACTTTATTTTATTGTGTGGTATTTTTTTTTATATGTATATATTACAAAGAATCACGTGGGTCGGGTGCATTACTAATGTGATGTGTAAGGTCTTCGGAGCCATTCTAAACACGGATCAAATGCGTCAGCCGTCACTTCGGCGCACTAAAGGCATTGATCATATCAGACGAGGCAAGTGCTGTCTTGCATTATGCCCATAAAATATGGTGTGATAAAATGCGTGCACCACTGCGCAAAGCTTCTATCTGACAAGCCTGGGTTATCCTTCTCCGTAAAATACAAGCTTTTACTGGCAGCACGTTCCAGGTAGTCATTTTGTTTCATACTGTCTTGCGATCAGGCTATTATAAAGGACAATAGATTAAGTATTTTAATGGTTATTTTCCACTTTGCTGGAGAGCGCTTGTCTATTAGCTACAGGCGCACAACACAGTTCCTATATTCGTCTGCAATTGAAATCGGTAAATGTCATTTAAATTTATGAACTGACATGCAAATGTGAATCGAATTTATGTTAAAAACCAGCTTTAAACTCTTTTGTCCTTGAAGGAAATTTATTCCACTTTTTTTACAAGTGCACTTTAATTTCTTTGATTTGACACAGAGCGTTATGATTTTGCTGTCAATTTGAAAAAAAATTCAGTAATTTAAACAATTATCGGAAAACGCTGCATTGATAAAAGCCGATTTGGCATTGATTTTGGCCGCGTGGCTTGCGCATCAGGTGTAAATTGATCACGTGATTCGGTTGGGCCAAGACTTCTAGTAAATAAATGATTGAATAATGGTATAACGATGTCTTCCTTTTGACTAATGGTGAGCTCACCCTGCGCATTTGCATTAAAAAGAAGAAGAAAAAAAGCTGTTTACTTGACATGGACCAAAATAAATATTTGTCTCACGATAATCATATCGATGCATTTTTGTTTCTGTTGAATCCACTCAAAAGTAGATCGTGTATATTTGTAGCCTGCGTGTTGTTTCATGGCTTCTACATTGATAGCGTGCATACAGCCTGTTTTGGTTTTTTGCTTCTAATTCGTCGGTCTTAGATAGGTCTATTATTGTTATTTCCGGAACATGTTTTTGTTTTTAGACAATTGAGCGATAAGAGTTGCATTATCTTACATATGGATTATTGTTTTGAAATAAGTCAATTCTCTGATTGCGTCAATAGCATTAGAAATGCTTGCACATTACCTTGTAAAGTTAGTGCCTTTAATTGAAGAGTGCGTTATAATGCATATTAAGGTATCATATATAGTGTATTGTGTAGTGCCTGCAGTGTACACAATTTGGTTTGTACGCAGCACAGACAGGTGAATCATAGTAGTCATTTAGACAGAAATATTGACAAGGACATGTATGTGACGAACATGTCAAATGGTTTTACATAGGCGAGAAATATTGATTTTTTCAATTGCTTTGATGATAAAAAGTAACCAAATCCAGTTGCTGCAGTTTTATCATGCATCAAATGAAGGTGATTCGTTTATTATTAAAAAAAAATTACATCTATTTGGAGGTCACATGTTTTGGCCATTTTAGTTGTAAAGGTCGCTCAAGGCACTTAAAAGGTGGTCATCAACGTGAATTGGATCAAGCGGACGGATGGTCAGCTAAATACACTGCCCCGTTAATATAGACCACCATCAGCGTTATTAATTTCATTCATAATTTCCCTTCCAAGCGCCGTGCGCGCGTGGCCTTTGGACCGCCTATAGTTTAACCATCTGACGATTCGCACAGTCTTTATTATAATAGCATTGTAGTTCAAACAGATTCAGGGTAGATAGAGAAAATATCAGTAGATAGGTGTACAGAGAATAAGAAATAAACAACCACACAGCGAGTTTTCTTTTTGCGAGGGAGGCCAAGTAATGGTAACACGAATGAGACACGTTCCCAAAGTAAAATTATTTCAGTAATTGAACTCCCTTGTTGTTATTATTTATTTACGTTTTGCTTCGTTTCTTCGCATTTTTTGTTATAAATTCAGAATTGATTATTCTCACCCACGTGTTGATAACAAATTGCCTTAGATTAAGCTCAGTTGTAGTGGTTAAAAAACTTGAAACTGTGTATTGCTTGAAATATAATACTTCCACAACGTAATTCAGGGCTGCACATAGCCTTATAAACCAGTAGTATAGAAAGTAAACTAATATATCATTATGGAATAATGTAAATGATTTTAAAGTACGTAATATAATTTCGTAAATATATACATAAATATATATTTATTTATATATTTATTGATATATATCCAGTAAGAGAGATATAAATAATATGCCGACTGTATTCTTTGTTAATGGAATGGGGGGGGGGGGTATAAGCTTAGTTAAAAAAAATTATGAATATTATACATAAAATGGCTTTGCATAACCACAAACAGATATAGTTCAAAAACAAATAGTTTCATGTAGTTCATGTAAACAATTTCGAGTAAACGGAAAGCAGGCCAATTTTCTCGGAGTCACACATGCTGTTAGAAAATTGTCGGCTAAAATTTGGATTCGTGGAAAAAAAGTTCGCATCGTTGGCACGGTAAACCCTGATTTTTTTTTGTGACAAACTGTACCTGTTTTAGTAGTGACCGGTTTTAAACGCACTTGGACAAACAACAATACGAGCTATTACAATATATTAAATTCAGTGGTGTTCTTGATGAAATTGATCCTAACAACCTATGATTATTAATTTGTAGCCATGCCGTCCATGATATTAATATAGAGAGTACGAGGTGTTCTAATATGTTGCTCTCCTAAATTAAGGAGCCATCTCCGATAGGCCTATACAGCTGCATTTTTAAAGCATAATTCCTTTAAAAAAATAAAAATAGAATATACAATAATAATAAAAATTTGTATGTAAATTAATAATATTAAAAGGTATTTAAAAAACTGTCGAAGTCAACATTTCCTTTCAGGAATTAAACAAGTAAATTCCATGGTAATTGTGGCAAGGCCCATCTGTAAGATAGTCAAGTGTTTCTCGTTTGTCGTCGCCTATCAGAATTGATTTCCCTTAATGATTAAGACTTGTCCAATCTTGTTTCACTTACACTATTACATCTTCAACTGGCGAAGGAAGACCTTGGCCATGGACTCTTGCCATTCCTTTAAATAATTCAAGATGAATTTGCTGCAACAAAGGCGAATCTTCGCTTATGAGATAAGAAGGCATAGGCTTATCCGCCCAGAATTTTAATTGAATACACCCATGGCACTTCGTTATTTGTGTATTAACAAGGGCTGGTTACTCCGTACAGTAGCTGCCTCAATGCTTCGCCAAAATTGAGCTGTCCCTATGAGTGGACGTGTTTCCAGATTGGTTTACACTAACTGTTTAATTTAGGAGAAAAACTAATTAAAAATGTCTATAGAAACAAACGGTGATAACTTAAGCGCATCCATGGGTGAATTTTCGACTACATAATGAGATTTCCCTACAATGATCTAATTATAATACTGATATTGTCTGGCAAATTGCTGTACCGACCTTCAAAGCCAACAAGACTGGTGTATGCTAAAAAAAGGATTATATTTCACAGAATAGTTGAAACAGGACACTGCGCTATTCCTACCGTAAAATGAAACCGAGTGTCGTGGAAACTTGACTTTGTTACCGGATGTTCGTCGCTACTGAACTCTCTCTCTGCGACGAGCTGAATACGGAAATATTAATATCTTATCCTTGATCCGTTTTCAAGAAATAGATGTTAAAACATTATGGTAAATTTATTTTTGTCAACGTAAATTATACCGAATGCAAAACAAACTGACAGAGATGTTGACCAAGATGTGCATTGTTGTAATTAAAAGCGAGCTATTTAAAGAAAAAAGAGACAGCGTTGTAGTGAATTTCACACACAAATCCGGCGACCTTGAGGTGGTTCTTAAAAATAATTTGAGGTGGGCGTGTTTTATACGTAACGCTATTGGTTAGAAAGAGCATTGGCTATCGACGTACGACCCGCGTGCCAGCATGGAGCCATCGCTGTATTGTCTAGTATTTGTGGCTGCATGCTGGAGAAAACTTTGGAGAAAACTGCCCAATTTGTTGTAGTGATGAATCTTAATTTCATTTCGTCACAGTACGATTTGACATTCAAACTATAAAAAACACCTGTTTTAAATCATTGAGCATGTCTATGTAATGGGTAGTTGGGTAATTTATAAATTAATTAATTATGATTTTTTTTATTCAAAAGTTCTCTCAAGAAACAATTGATATCTTCTTGAAAACGACCGAATGTCAGATGAAACCATTTTTTTTACCAAGTAATGTTTTGTTATTTATTTTCAGTCAGATTTGTTTTCAGATAATTACTGATGATGTGACATGCATGAATTCAAATGTGACGTGTGAATTATTGGAAGTATTATGATAATACATGAAGATCATGGGTTGTATCGTCTCGAGAAGCTTTTGCGTCTTTTGGAACCTGAATTATCACTCCGGGAAGTCAGTATTAATGACAATTGGTTAGTCTTATATAAGGTAGAACTGCGTTTTTTTGTTGCCTTCACAGTGAACACAAAATGACCTATCCTTCTCTATCAGCTATACTCAAAAGCTTTCATCCACCAATCAGTGTTCAAGAATCACTGCTGGAAGCAAAGTGATTCCTTCGACATCTAGTAGTTAATCTGTTGTTTTTCTTAATTATTTTTGTTTTTAAATTAATGTATTTGTAATTTATGTTGATTTATTTCAGTCATACGTTTGTTCATAGGTCAAATTTTATTGTTCAATTTAAATCGGGAGTATGAAGCGAGGAATTCATGCATGAAAGGGAAAAGACTTTTCCACAAACGCGCAACAAAAACAAATTGATGTTTGCGCTTGTGGACAAAACGTGTCTATATCTCCCTCTGCCCTATTCCTTCTGTCTGTGGTCCGAAGTATCAAAACACAGTGTAATTTAATAAATTCATTATTATGGTCAGGAGGATGATTCTATGTCACAAATATTGTTTCGATTAGATTATCAACCGAACATTCCGCTGTAAATTGAATGGAACAGTCCTTGATCATGATATGGAGTAGTAATAATATTCTACAACTATTTCTTAAAGTCTTTGTGTAACCTTGTGATCCTTCTAATGTAGTCTGATGTGTTTTTCCCTTTTAATTGAAACAAGAAGCTACCAAGTTCCTTGGACCTTTTGGTGAAATGATAATAATTATTTTTTCCCCACTAAAACCATTGATTGAAAACGCTCACCCGAGCACGGAATAATGTTTACTTGGCAATGTTCAATCAATTATTGCATAGAAAGCAACAAAATACAACATTTATTTTGCTCAGAGCCAATAGACACCAATTTGTGGGGATTCATTTTTTTTTCAAGAGTTTGTAAAAATAAAGGAAAGAAAGTCAGCTTTCGAATCCGAAAAGCCTTGATGCCCAAGATAGAAACCTTGGTCTTGCAAACTGATGACTGCATTGGGAGCTTTGCGTGCTGTCCATGCAACATATGCCTAAAGAGTAAACACGCAGATAACATGATGTCAAGCAACAGAACAAACAACAAAATAACTTACGATTTTGAAGGGTAAAGATTAGGACATGCAGCTGGCCTAATATTTCTTGCTTTCATATTACTAAAATCATTTACATAAACTAGCATTATTTGGTGGTGAAACGAGCAAGAGCCTACGCCAAGAGTTGGACCACAACTTTCAGAGTTTGGTATCGAAAAGAAAGCAAAAATCTTGATAATTATTAACGTAAACGTCCCTAAATGAAATTTGTATAATGTAAATTTGCAAATTATTATAATTTCTTGGGGACTTTTTCCCTGCTTAGGAATACGCCGTTAAGGTTCAACGCCAGAGGTTCTATATTTAATGGCGTTTCGAAAACGGAAGAAAAAGTTCTCTTCTCTCTCAAAAAAAACCCCAAAAGCCCCCAAAACAACAACAAAACAAAAAACAACGCTGTGATAAAATTCAAAATTCCAAAATTCCATGAATATCACCAAAGACCTATACTTGTCTCCCAAGCCAAGCCCAGCCCCCTTTTTTAGGTCAATCACCAAACCAAGAATGCATACCAGTAAATATAATTTTGTTCACACGTTGTAAACCATTTTGACACACAGCGCGGAAAAAAAATCAATTACAATAAAATCATAAGTGCGGTAATTAGACGTCGACATGCATTTCGTGGGGAAAAACATTAAAGGGACGCTGCAATGCACATTTCCTTTTTGACAATTAAATTCTTTTTTTCTTCATGTAAAGAGATGTAACCCAACCATTATTACGACTCGCCTCCATTAAAAGACGATCAACGAACGATGTTCAATTATGACGTTTGTCTAGTAAACTCTCCAATCTTTGGATGTGACTAGATTGTCAATTCCCCACCATGACCACGAACAGATGAACATGTTGTAGGCCTAAGGGAGTGATTTATGACGTCTGGATTTGTGGGAGAACAGTGGCCAATAGCATGAAGCTGAGAGAACTCAGAAATTTATTTGGAAAGCACAGAATAGTTTAATCAGCAAAACAACAGCTACCATTCAAAACATTCCTACGATCAACCGGTTCTTTTCAGAAACACACATCTTCTCAAAAGAGATGTCCAAATGTTATTACAGCAAACCTACAGTTCATACCACCACCATGCAAAGTTTCAAATCTTACTTACAACATTTATGCTTAGCAAGAAATTTGGGCTTGGAAATATTTCTGCTAAGCACGATGTTGCTTCAAAATGAACATTCTAGCCTGTGGTTCTTGGGTCGCTGCTAACCTGAAAACGTGACGGAAGGCCATTTGCTTATCCCCCAAAAGGAAGCTGGGTTCTTCTACAATTTGCCATTGCAATTTTCCCCGACTATCAGAACCATAACGAAAGCGTGCAGTTGTTAGATGTTTGTTACTCTGCAGTTATGTAGGCCTACCAGTCTCAATCCAGCCACCACAATGAGCGCGTTTCTTTGCAAACACGCTGTTGTGTGTGGTAAATTTAGACAGCTGTACACACCTCATGTTTGAGAAATTGTTTTCGAATCGGTCACCCAAATATCAAGTTTGCGTTCAGTGCTTAAAACAATGAACACGAACAGGAAGAGATACAGTTGTTTGCATTTCTGTATTTTGTCAATCCTTATTTCGTTTCTGGAGGTTAATGGAATTAAAAAAAGACTCCTCGTAGTACTGATACAATGGTGTTGTTTAATAGTATGTTTTGTTCTCGTAAATTCGAGTTCTGTTTTTCACCAAATCGTGTTTTCTTTTGTCGAACTCTTCAATTACCTTTTGGTCTGCTAATTTCACCAGACTTACAAATTTTCAAATTTTGTAAGAGGGAAGATATGCACATTGCCCACAGTGTACCCGATGAAATAGCAACGCAAAATGGTGAAAAGACGATTTCTTTTCTGTACCACATACGTACAATTCTAGTTTCTATGGTCCCCATTTTAGAAAACCAACTGTTCGTGCACATCGTTTTGTTCAGCTATAGCATGTAAGCTTGTTCGTAACGCCAGTCGTTAATGTACCATCTTGTCGTTTCACTTCAGTTGCAATCCTTACGACTGTCTGTGTTAAGTGAAGCGTAACGCTTCCTGACAATAGGCTTAGACATGTATTTTTAGATCTTTAACAGACGTTGCGGAATATCATGTAACAAAATATCCCACCGTTTGCAGTTTCTATAGAGTGTGCCAAAAAGTGCAACATTCAGTAAAACAAACAACTAAAATTGTTAAATGTTTTCTACTTCAATTAAATTATATATTACATTAAAGCCTGACTATTTCCCAATCCACTCCTTTTTACCCCATACCATTTAGGTTCTGTAGATCCAGAAATACAATCAATTAAGTGAAAAGGTGTCTATTTCACTTCGGCACTCTCACCTGTGATGTCACCAACTTCAATGCCTATTAATTAATTCAGCATGTCCAGGTGAGAGTAACACACTAAAGTTTACACCCTTTTACTTAAATTCAACACTTAGCTCAATTCTGGTTGTAATGCAGAACAATTATACTCCTGTTTCGTCTCGTTTAGTTCGTATGGTGATAAAGCAGGATCTGAAGTCTTATAAATGGACAGTGTAGTCTTATTTCCGTATTTCCAAGTTGTATGAATGTCTTTCTGTACATAATAATTGTTTGAACACTCATGGTTCTGTGTAGACCTGTGCGACAAATGTACATTGTACATATACGATTACGTGAGCTCCCTAAAAATAACACTTGTCCTATCGTGTTTCCACACACATATGCTGTGAGAATTTCATTACACGACTGCTAAGTGCTCTTGTTTCCTCCATTGGAGGTAAAGATGAGTAAATTTCAAGTCTGTTCAATCGCCCGCCAAATATTTCCCGCCAAATTCCCTTTTGGCGCGCGTACTGGGAGTCGTGACTTCCGGCCTATGCAGCGTTTCGTTTCCCGCTGATGTTGAATTTCGTATTCAAGGCACGCGCTGGCCACGACGTCAGCCGTGACGTCAGCAGTGACGCGCGCCTCAGTGACATTTGCTCTTGGTAGTAGTGCATTGGTTAGTATCTCAGACATCCTTTTGGCCGATGTTAATTGGTGCATAGCGGACATCTGAGACGAGGGTCTTAGCTGAATTATTCTGGTCTGTGATTTACTCGATTTGATTTGAAAGTTGTGGTAAATGAGATTAAAACGACCGCAATTTGACTCTTCACAAAAATGGCATCTTTTCTTTCAAGCACTTCTTTGCCTACAGGCCTGTTTCATTTGACTCATGTTATGTTATCAGTTGGCATATGCATGAAAAGCACAGTATAAATGAAAAGCACAGTATGGAATGCACACAGGTTGTTCAGCAGTTGAAAACACACCAATTGAAAAGGTGCGTATTTTCATAACCTAAATGAGCATGTCATTTACGCGTGAACTCCGGCGATGTCTGTACTAAATACAGGCGTTAGGTTACACTTGGTGAATTTGACACACTTGCATTTCAGTCTGAATTTCGGTGAAGTATAAACCTGGTGAAAGTTAATCAATTGATAGTTCGTATTGCATGTTCCGTAGGAACTACACGTTTATTCTCCGATGTACAATACGAACATCAGAATGGTACGCGTAAATTTCAATATTTTGATGTAAGATGTACATTGCCCACAGAGCGCTTGATGAAATAGCAACGCCAAATGGTGATAAGGCGACTTTTTTTTTTCGGAACCGCACGTATCCCCCGTATAGTACGCGTACCAATCTAATGGTCCCTTATTTTAGAAATCTAAATGTGCGTGTACATCGTGTTGTTCAGCTAGCCTGTGAGTTTGTTCGTAACGCTAGTAATTAATGTACCATCTTGTCGTTTCACTTCAGTTGCAATACTTACGACTGTCTGTGCTATGTGAAGCGTAACGATTCCTGACAATAGGCTTTATAGGTAGACCTATGTATTTTTAGACCTTTAACAGACGATACGGAATATCATGTAACAAAATATCCCACCGTTTAGAGCTTTTACAGAGTCTGCCAAAAAGTGGAACATTCAAAAAACAAATAATTAAAACTTTTGAATTTTTTTCAATGAAATTGTATATTACATCAAAGCCTGACTATTTCCCAGTCTACTCATTTTTTACCCCATTCCATTTGGGTCCTTAGATCCAGGAATACAATCAATTAAGTGAAAGGGTGTAAATTTTACTTGGTCTACTCTCATGCGCCTGTGATATCAACAACTTTTAAGTTTAAAAATGCCTATTGCTCATTAATTAGTTTAGCATGTCCAGGTGGGAGTGGCCCAAGTAAAATTTAGTCAGGCTTTAATGTAATATACAATTTCATTGAAGTAAAAAAACATTCAACAGTTGAAATTATTTGTTTTTTGAATGTTGCATTTTTTTGGCACACTCTGTATTTTGTAAAGTACACCGAGTAGGGCATAGACTTTAAACAATAACCACACGTATGTAATTTAAATAAAATGTACCTTATGATGATATTTGTTGCGACCAACCACATGCAGCAATGGCCCCAACTATAGTTGGGAGAGACCCAACTACAGTAAGGGCAGTCCCAACTATAGTTGGAGCGTAACACCTTTGACAACTTAACG